GATTTGAACCATGGCTAATTGGCCAGCTAGTTTGCACCGTTCAGATTAGATGCACTGCTGGAATCGACGGTCGAGTCCCAGATTGTGTGTTATTTATTTCTTCAATGAGGCGTGAACGCAGTGAAGGAAACTGTACCACTTTATCCACTTACAACTTTAGCCAAGTCAAAGTTGCCAAGTTAGATTTTAGTTTGTGGTGAAACAATTTTTTTTATAAACTCTTGACTGCATTCAAATGTTGCTTTTCTTCATGTTATATCTACAAACCTTAGAGTTGATCTAAATTGACAACATGGAGGCATCTTGCGTTTTATTAAAGGACAAAGTTGTTGAGCAAATGTAAAAGTACTTTCTCAGAGATAATAGCTGTTAAAGATGGCCACACACTTGAGTAGCTTTTCACGCCATCTTCCGTTCCCCCCTCTACTTTCCTAGCGATTGCTTTCCCTTTGGAGGATAATCTATAGAATCGGATTGGGATAAGTAGCTTGTGTTTATTTTCCCAATGATATTTTAATGATTCCCCCCCCCTCGGAAGTCCTACAAACCAAAGTGGACTAGTGGAGCTTGACCGAGCTTGACAGCCTTCCTTCGGTTTTGATACAGGGTAGAGATGGGGAGGAAAAGGGGCGATGGAAAAAAAGAGGTTGAGGGGGGGGGTTTCTCCCCTTTTCTGATGCTAATGAAAGGAGGAATGGTTTTCCAGCTTTTAGCTTGCAGAGTGTGTCTCCCCTGCAGCATGCTCCGCTGCCTGGACATTGTGGGAGGACAAAACTCCAGGCCCGGGATCCAATAACGTGAAATTTCAGCAGAGAAGCGGCCATTGTGTAGAAAGAGGCAGCCGGGGAGGGGTTGGGTAGAAGGGGGAGACCGAGCGGAGGAAAGGGAGGGTTACTTGGCCAGCACCCAGGGCTCAGGCCACATCCTTTCTCTCTCTCCTCCTGCACTCCTCCTCCTCTTCCTTCTCCTCCTTCCCTTCTTCTCCCCCTTCTGTCTTTCTCTCAATACCCCCCTCATACCCTCCACTCCCCTCCACCACCACTCCCCTCTGGGGTGGGAAGCCCAAGGCTGAGACAGGAGCAAAGCATGATGGCATGCTGGAGCCCAGTGAGCCATGGGCCGGAGCGGCAGACAAACGGCCACTTTGTCAACTTAGGAAATGGTTGTCCCAGGATCCCCCTTCTCCACCACACACTGGAGCAGCCGGCCTCGAGGCCCAGGCCTGCCTGCTCTGCACGTGCTCCCTCATCACGCCTTCGCTTCTCTTCAAATATATTCTTTACATGTAGGCTTAACTCCGCTTTAAGTCATGGTGTTTTGTTGGCACTTTGTTCTCACTTCAAATAAGGTTTTAAATAGTAAGATACCGCATAACTCTTATTATATAGATGCCATAAAAGCCTTTGCACATCCTTCCTAGAAAAAGGCCATATTCGAATGTGGCTGGGAGCTGTTGACTGTCACCTTGGTCTCCACCCTGTTCTCATCCACAGCCTCCTCCTCCTCCTCTCCCCACAGTCCTCCGTTACTCTCTCACCCCTCCCTCTGTGTTTCTCTCCTGCTTTTGGTCGGAAATGAAGTCAGTCATCCAGCAGAATAACTTGGAATAATTTGAAATGGGGGGCTCCTTTCTCTCTATCTCCCCCTCCCCCCCGCCTCTCTCAGGCCCAGGCCAGCTGATCTGCTTCCGCTCTCAATTGTGTGTCCAGTCGACTGTGTGCTCCCAGCGAGGGCCGTGGAAGGCAGCCTTTGTCTCCACCGTCCCACTCTGAACTGTGTGTACTGTGTATGTGTGTTGCAGCAGGTTGCACTCAAATATCTTTTTGGACCACTGACTGTTTTTACAACAAGGAAGGAAAGATTCATTATGTGAGGGGAAAAAGAGGAGCGGATGTAACCTTTGTATTCCCCTGTCTTAAAGATTTTATTAAATGGATCTATAGTTTAGTTGCTTGTTGATCTTTGAGTGGTTGGTCTGAAGGTTTCACAAGACATTTTAAATGATTATTGACTATTCACCTTTAGTAGTTTTAGGTACAGTTATTCTCAAAACGAGGTTGCTAGGGTTTTTCAGCAAGATGCAAAAATGCACGTATACACAGTCCACTTAACTTCCTCTCTGGGCCCAGCCCCCCTCCCTGTGAGTGTCATGGTTGCTGGCATGTGTGTGATGGTAGGTCTGAAGGGTCAGGCCCTGGTCATTGTGCCCTGGTCATGGCTGAGCGACACCACCGCCTGCCTTCTGTCCCCCCCAGGGACCCCCGTCTGACTGACAGCCCCTCCTGCACCCATCACCCGCATCCTTTATTGGGGGCCATAGCGGGGTGTAACAGCAGCAGTATTTCCCTCTTTTACTGCCCGTTATAATGCTCAAAATGCATTTTTCGGCTGTGGCAGGGGTTCTTGTGTAAGGTTAAGCACTACTTCTGTGACGCTGTTATGAGGTGTAACCAGAAAGGGTTTTTCTTGGTAGGTGCAAGGGGGAAGTAAGTTGTGGTGATGTTTTTCTGTCAGTTTCCCACGACCAGTTACTGTTTAGCTTTAGCATTTAGCATGAATCCGTATTGTTGGTCATTTCATAAAGTCTGCAACTGTTATTGTCTAGCACTTCTTTCCGTTCTTTCTTTTTGTTGCCTATGTTTATTCGATTAGCAAAATAGTTGCTTAATTCAGTATTTCATTGGAAATAGAAGGAAAAAAACTCAATTTAGGGTGACATTATACTTATTATATAACATTAATATAAAGTAAAAGACTTGCATCCTCACTAAGCCTCCTATCTGTTTTTAGTATAACTAAAAACATGTAATAGCAAGCCGGCTAAGCTTTGCTGACTTAAATTAAATGTAATTCTCATCGAACCATTTTCCAGATAGTAAGAGTATTGGACTAAGGGCATATCATTTTCAAGTCAATTCATATTTGATTAATCATCCTTCAATGTAAGTAAATGAAAAGGATAAATGTTCTATTGACTCATTGTCAACTTTATATTTAATATTGCGAACCTGTTAGCAAACAGTTGTTACAAGTTCTGTTTCTGCCACCTAATGAATGTAGTTCAACATTGATTATTGTTAGCTCTATCTTTGGTCTGTACCAATTCCTGAGGTAAATATATGTCTCTTCAGTTGCTAAATGCTAAAATATATTTTCTATCTCGTCCCATAAGTGTGTTGGTCTGCTGTTTAGTGTTGGGCAAGTAGCGTACTGTATGTATTTTTTTTTTAACGTATATTAAAGAAATTGCAGTGAAGTACATTTGTCTTATGTCTTAAAAATACCATTATACTTTTATCTGTTTGTCTGACCAGACATGAATTAGCCAGAATAAAATGTGTGGTCTGATTTATTCAGTTATTATTGAGTTGTCCATATTCATCATGCTCATCAATCCTTTTGAAGGAACTTTAGTCAATTATTACCATGTGCAAGGATATCAAAGCTTCACATGAAGAGACAAAATAGCTTCAGGTTGTATGTTCACTGGCTCTTGGATTAATTAATAACCAATAACCTGGGCATTGATGTTTGCCAAGGGTGTGGAAGGCAGCAGGGCAAAGGTTAGCCTTATGGAGTAGATTAAGAGAGGAAAGGCAGTATGTGGGAGAACACAGCTGTTTTGAGAGCAGCTACTTGTTGTCTCCCTTATTCACTGTTTTCTATTTGGCCATCATCAGAGAAGAAATTCTTTAGAAACGTTTCAGACCCTGTGACGTCACCTTCATTGGTCAACCTGGACGTCGGCCAGAGAGCAATGTGTCACAGGAACACATCCGGCAGCACATTCTTCGCCCGTTTCTATCTGCGCTCAGATCTTCCACAGCCTTTAATATGTTACCAGAAGTTTCTGCAAAATGCTGCCCTCAGCACACCCTGACCCTTGTCATTTCCGGTGGCCCAACTGTGTTATATAATCAGGGAAACATCGGACTCTGAAGAGAAGGGACAGAGAGGCGAAGGAGGCGGGAAGGGAAAATTGTATTGGGGATAAATAGATGTAGAGGTAAAATGTCTATAATGTCTTTTATAGTCAGTATAAAACTATGGTGTGAAATGGAGGTTGTCATCAGATGTCTACTGACATGCTGGGATCAATACAGCAATACAATGAGTTTTGATTCCTTTCTACAAACCTTTTATATCTGGATTATTATTATTATTCTGGCAGTCCAGCCCTTTTCCATGTTTTCTATAAAAACAAGTAGATCATTTATGTAATATGCTGGGATTCAAAGCCTTTAAAGGGAAGGAAGTGAGACGGCAGTATTATCGTCAAAAAGAAAGATGTTGATGTGGAGCCCCTGTCATTCGTTGTGAAACCACCTGCTTAGGGGAAAGGTTGGAAACCAGCAGCAACCACAGCCTGAACTCGTCCACGTGGTCAGTCACCCTCGGACCTGGGTTAAACATACACTGATCAGACTTTAGAAATCTTATCCAGTTGTCTGCTCTATCATGCACTTAAACCAAATAACCATTCAACCCAATTTTGAATACTGGACTTTGCACCTTCACATTCTATTTTTAGTTGGCCTATAGATTTTAGGATAGCTTATTGCTAGTAGTAGCTTTTGACACAACCCAGATTCCCCAGTAGTTTCCTTTGAGTTGTTTAGCCAAATGAACAGGGTTGTTCTGATGTGATTTGTAAACTTTATAACTTGGTGTATCCATTTCCTAACGTTATGTTGTCTGTATGTCTTTGTGGTGTGTTCCTTACTTCACGTTTACAAACACTTGTGTACATGTACTACAACTTGTTAATGCTGCAGTTCAACTGAACTATGTAGGCTGATATTTAATGTAAGCTGTCTACTTTTGATGATGTTTTTAATCGTGCTATAAAAGGTCACCAGAGAAAAGTGATAAAAAACCAGCTGAAAATGTTGAAATGTTGATTGCTACTGATTACGTTCACTAAAAGCATTGTTTTTCTTTCTGCTCCTTCCCCTCTCCTTGTCCTACTTCCTTCCTCTCCTCCCTTTCCTTCTCCACAGTGACAGTTATGCGCGTGTGAGAGCAGTGGTCATGACTCGGGATGACTCCAGTGGTGGGTGGCTTCCCCTGGCGGGCGGAGGCCTGAGCTGTGTCACCGTCTATAAGGTCAGCCGGGCGGAGGACAGCAGCAGCATTCACAGTGGAGGCAGCGGAGGCAGCAGCAGCAGCAACCTCAGCCCGTGTAGCTCCACTTCTAGTCCTAGCCCCAGTCCCAGCCCCAGCCCCACCGCTGTGGAATATCACATCAAGGGCGAGAGGCTCAAAGACAAATCGGTAAGGGAACGTCCATTCATAATGGAGAAACATATAAGTTATGCAACACTTCATAAGTTCATGTTAATACCATTTATTTAACCAGCTAGTTCGTGTGTTTACATTCTTGGGTATTTAATCATCCCCACTCTGTCATGCACACTCAGGTGCAAAAACCAGAGATGGTGCATTTTCTTAGATGAGATCATCCTGAGCCCCCCTTTGCTAGACCCCCCACCCTCTGTCTCCCTCACACATACTCATTCACACACTCACACACACTCATTCACACACTCACACACAGGAAGTGGTTATTTGGCTTTCCTCCATGGCGCAGGTATCTGAAAATAGGAGCTTGATGCTGTGATGCATGATGATATCATCAGGAGAAGGGCAGATTACTCAGGAGAAAAGAATGTGGGATGAGGGATGTGGGAAAACGCACAAAGGGCTTGGAAAAGAAGCTAAATGATGGAATAGGGGCTGGACATTCACACTCACTCCGGTTTTCCATGAGTACACAAGAATTTGCCTACCCTTTTTATGAGCATTTCCTTTTACTTGATGTGTAATGTAAAGGCGGCTGTATGTTCCAGTTAATTAAGTCAAGAAAACATGTTCCTGGTTATTCTAACAAAATAAAAAATCCTCAATCGTGTGCTAAAGTTAATGTAGTTAGGGATAAGGAAAAAGCGTTTTCAGATATAGCTTGTTTTATAAACCTATGAAAAATAAATACATTTCAAAATGTATATAGAAAGATAATGCTTTATTTTAACAAGCTGGGTTTTCTTGAACTACGGCTGCAATAAACGATTATACTTAATTATCATATATGACAAAAAGAACAACAAAAGCTGGAACTAGCAAATATTTGGAATTTTGCTTGAAAAATATTCACACAAATAACATATATAATATTTTTTGTAAAACAGTTATCTTTGAATCAACTGCTCATCAAGTGTATTGCTCTTTTTTTGGCCGATTTTAAATCAACAAAATAATTATCCATATAACATAATATGTAGGCCCTATAATCATTTACCAGATTTTAATTATTAACATGCAAAATAACAGAGGCGTTATTAGAAATGTCTACTTGCTAACACTGTAAATAGTTTGAATTTTTCCATTTCATTTCCAATATTTTGGCACCATAGTAAACAAACAGGTAAACTGCAGAGTGCGTGGTCATTCGGTTATTCTCAGAAATAACAATGAGGCTTCGAAAGATCCCATTGTACGCTGCTTCGCTTTAATCCTTATAGCTTTTGCTGTAGTTGCTGTAAAGCTCATGATCTTCTTGTCACAAACTCATTCTGTGTCGTAGATCTAAAACAGATCCAGTAGATGCTCTGGGTTAATCCCGGTCTGTGGTAATGAGACTGTAAATCTGTGTTTGTGTGACAGAGAGAGAGAACTGTCTGTCAGATGTCAGGAGACGATGAGGCCACCATGATGCCCAGAGTCTGGTGGCTCCTGACAATCTAACATTAGAAGCTTCTTACAGTACGGCGTCTAAATCACCTTCTTTATCTTTTTTCACTGAGCACATTTTATACGCGCTTCGTGTTTACGACATGTTTGTGTTTGTACGTTGCTATCCAAGTGTGTGTGTGGCACAGGAAAGGGTGTGACGGGAATGCTGTTGTTCAGACAGGGTATAGACATTGCTCAGAGACCCCGGCGACTGCTCTGGGATGTGGTAAAAACACCCCTATCAACGCCAGAGTCTACCCCCAGCCACCACAACAAACACCCAACCATATGTAGGTCTGTCGGGATGCCACCCAGTGCCATGGTGTTGGCGTCAACTACAGTGCTACCGACAGTCTGAGGGCATCAGAGGAGCATAGGCACAGTGCGGAATGGAATCAACAGCAACAGAGAAAACCACATAAGAGCACGTTGTCTTTTTGCGGAAGAAACGGCGCTTGTTACCACAGTATTGTCTGAAACCATAACATCAGTGTTTTGAGGTAAATGAAAGACCCCAATTATGTTGTGCAAGTGATGTGGAAAATAATTATGGGGAAGAGTCTTTGAATGTTTAGAGGGCTGTTTCGTCTAATTACGTAGACCGGGACAAACCCCCATACTCTAATATGTCCTACTATAGATTCATAAACATGTCCATCTACTGTAGTCTTACGAAATCCTGTCGATAACACTGTGGTTTGTTACATTTAAAGAACAGAAAAGGGAAATCCTGCTTCATGTTAAAGATATGTTTTTCTCTTAAGGGATAGACTTCAGTGATTTCAAATCAGCCAGAAATGGACAGACTAGAATAGGCACAATGACATCTGCCATGCCTGATAGGAACTTGAGCTAGATACAGGAAGAAACAGATCAGAGATGCAGTTATTTTGAAATCACAAAAGGAGTGATGCTGGCTGGAAGAAATGAGGTGATTGGGGTGCATAAGATATGAGAGGAATCAGGGAAAGAGATGTGTGTAGTCAAAGAGCAGGAAACAGAGGTGGAGCCAGATAGACGGGAGACGGAAGAGGTGGAGGGGATCTGTCTATAAGCGCAGTGATGCGGCACAGAGTGTACTGGTGATGACTCAGCTGGCTCTCCATATAGCTACCAATCACTCTTCTCCGTGCCCCCTCCCTTCTCCCTTGTCCCTCTCTCCTCTACTCCCATTCTCTGACTCTCTTAAAAACTACAGATCTAATTGGTTGATGATTACTTACCACACTGGCTCTCGGATTATGACAAATCGCTGGCTGAGCTTTCACCTCGTTTTCTGACGTCGATCGTCTGTGCGTCCCTTTGATTGATAAAGCCGTGAATGTGGTGTAGTCTGGGCCTACTCTAAAAGGCCTTTCCCAGAGGCAGGGGCACACCTGATACAGATGTTTATTTCTACTGTTAAACCTTGTCATTTGATTGTTTTAACTTATCTTTGCTAGCAAAATATGCTTTATTATCTTGAAGTCTTGGGTGTATGGAAAAACATGTATCTATTTCAACCAATGCTTCTTGCTAAACCTTGAAAATGCAGTGCTTAAATATTATTACAAGCCATTTTTCATGTTTTATATCTATATTTCTGCCTTGTAAATGCTCAAAACACATTTCTTTATTCTAAGATAGTTCATATTAAAATATATCCTTTTAATTTTGAGCGTTGTTTTTCGAGGCATCTTATAATTACAAGATGGCAGTGTTCAGAGATTCTAGCCTGATTTCTTTCTTCTATGCATGTAAACGTAGTCGCTCTATCTTCCCCCTTTTCCGCTCTCACGCTATCTCTTCACTACTCTCGGCACGTCTCACCTCCGTCTGTCTCTGTCTCCGTCCCTCTCCTCCTCCTAACATCTCCAGCCTCTGCTCCGTATCTGGCTCCTCCTCCTCTCTTTTCTCTGAGCACAGTGTGGAATGCGGTGTTAAGTATCGTCCTTCCATGCAACTGTGATACTTCCTCCTCTGCTGGCCTCGCTGTGCGCTCACCTTACCTGCTCCGGCTCCATTCAGTCTCGCCTCCACAATCAGCCCCAGAGGCCCACCCCCCCACCCCCCACCCGATCCTCCTCACATCCATCCCTCTCTTCTTTACTCCCCTCATCCACTGGCTTTGGGTAAACACACAGGCTTAACCTTTTGGCCCTGCTTTTCTTGGGGAGGCATGTATGCAACAGTGACATGAGGAAGGATATTGTGAGAGTATACCGAAGTGTAAAAAGCATCTTGCACTTGGACGTTCAGAATGAAATGTAGACCTGTGTACACCCTCTATGACACGCGTATCGCATATCACCAAACTCTCGTACAGCTGCCACGAGGTATCAACCTCTTAAGGTGTGCACGTTGACTGTTGTCCGAAACAACGAGGAACGTTGCCATCTGCTTTCACTACACCAGTATTGGTTTTTGACCGGTATCCTCTGACAAGGCATTTGCACTGCGAAGATGCAAAGTGTAGCGCTCGGGTCATTGAGCTTTTCATCACACCAGCTCCTGTGCTCACGCATTCTCTCACGCAAATTACCAATGCGCACGCTCACACATTCACACCCTACAAGCCACCTCTCGTGCACGTCTGTAAAAAACCTCAAAGACTGTAATGGCCGTCTCTCATTTCATTTAATCTGCCTAAAGGAAGGCCAGGAGGCAGCCCAGTAGCTCTGATTAATAATAGGCTTTGGAAACACAGTCTCCACGCCACACACTTGGGCTGCCTGGCTCCAAAACATTCCCCCCCCCCCCCCCCCCCCCCCCCCTCCCCTTATTCAGCCACCACCACTGCTTTCCAACTTTTTATCTTCATCTGTAATGAGAACCCCACCATTTAGAATGTGTTTTACAAATTATCCAAAGGAGTATGTGAAATGATTGGGTTTAGAATGATTTTTTCTTCTCTATTTTTAGACACCCTTGAGTTATGTGCAGTTCTAGATGCAAGCCTCAATCTCTTTCTTTCTCTTCTCTTACTCATGTCAATGTGGAGTAATTGAATGAGACACATTTAAACAACTCAGGCTTGACAAAAATATTACTAATAAGCCTTGTTTCAATCTGACACTGTGTGTTTTATCAGGTGGTGCTGGAGTGTGTCCTGCAGAAAGACGTAATATACAACAAGGTCAACCCCATCTTCCACCACTGGAGGATCAACAACAAGAAGTTTGGACTGACTTTCCAGAGCCCTGCTGACGCTCGTGCTTTTGACCGGGGCATACGTCGGGCCATTGAGGACATCAACCAAGGTGTGTGTGCGGTTGGCAGATTGTCAATGGTCCCTGCGTGTGTTTTCGGATTTCAAAAACCAAACACCAGATTTGTTTGGAATTCCCTCTCAGAGGCTGCACTATTCTATGTGTGTTGGCAGCCATCCAATGCGTGTAAAGTGATACGGGTGTATGTGTATGAACATGGCATGCATCTGTAAGCGGGTGTCTGCAGCCTGTTTTTCTGCCCGTTTGTCATTGGCTTGTAATGGCTGACCTAGCATCTGTTCCACGAGAGATGCATAGCGTTGATTAGCGTTGATGACTTCCCCCACTGATACCTGCTCATTCACCCAAGCATGACCCCTCCTGCGGTATCTTATCAGTGCCAGCTGCCCAGATAAAGTTCCCACTTCCTGTAGAGACTGGCAGGGCAACACAGTGAGTGATATGGGACAGGGGGGAGAGTTGGTGAGAAAGAGGGAGGGGGGGTAGAAACTGTCAGAAGAAACTTGACCAGGTTAGGCTTGTGTTCTGTTTGAGCTAATGTTTGATTAAAGAAATATAAGGTTTTGCTCTACTTTCAACAATTTTCTACTTTTTCTACTTTTATTTTGAGCTAAACTAGATATAACACTTGGTCTCTGAGTTTACTTAGCGACTTTGGGTCCTGATAAGCAATATTTTTTAGTACAGTGCCAGAGGTTGCAAAGTCATCCAATTAGCAAGAGAATCGCCAGCTCAGCAATCTGCCACCCAGCCCCGTGTTACATAAGAGGCTGGCTGGCTGGAGAGCTATAATCTCCTTTACCCTGTAGACCTGGGAACCCTGGGGAGCGTAGAGGAGGTACAGCAAAACATATCGTAAAAGCTTATCAGCACCAGGCATCAGTCGCCTCTTGCCCACAAGCGTTTATCTGAGATTTGTACTTCCTGGGCACAAGTCCACACACAGTCTAGGTAACAGGTAAGCATGGGGAACAGCTGAGAGGCTGGCTTTGCAAAAGGCAATGATCAATCCAAAACACTACAATAATGAGAAGATGACAATGTCATATCGAAGGTCAGGGCTGCTTGGTTGGTGTGAGAGCTAGTTTACTGTTTTACTTAATTTGATATATCAGTATATTTACAGGAAACAATGTTTGCTGGTCAATAAATTATGTTTAAAATCAAAGATCCCAGAATTAGTACTTCCATTACACAACACAACATGTCTCCTTTGGGTCGAAAATCTCTAATTGCTGATCAGCGTGATCAAACACATCCCTCACATCACCAAGAGGCTGTGTCTGTCTGCTTGTAAATGCTTCAACTCTTCCCTGTGAATGTCAGCTTCGGCAGGTGATGCTGAGTTTTGTCTCCCCGGTGCCTGCACTCTCTCTCGCTCTCTCTCTCTCTCTCTCCTCTGCTGTACTCTCCTCCCTCCGCTCTCCTTTCTCTTCTGGCATCTTCTGTATTCTACCAGTGTTGTGTAATGCCTCTCTTCAGCTCAGGCAGGTTCTTCTGTATTCCTGTTGCATCGCGGTGCTGCTGGACGTGTGTGTGTGTGTGTGTGTGTGTGTGTGTGTGTGTGTGTGTGTGTGTGTGTGTGTGTGTGTGTGTGTGTGTGTGTGTGTGTGTGTGTGTGTGTGTGTGTGTGTGTGTGTGTGTGTGTGTGTGTGTGTGTGTGTGTGTGTGTGTGTGTGTGTGTGTGTGTGTGTGTGTGTGTGTGTGTGTGTGTGTGTGTGTGTGTGTGTGTGTGTGTGTGTGTGTGTGTGTGTGTGTGTGTGTGTGTGTGTGTGTGTGTCAGAAAGAAAGAAAGAATATGTTTTGTGTGTATCAGTCTTGCAGTCCTCTGTTGCCATGGCAACGCTGGGCACATGGCTCAGGCAGCTTCGCGGCCCAGCACTGCCAGAGTCGTGCTGCAGGAAGCCTCTTTCTCTCTGTAGTGCAGAAATGCATACAGACACACCAACACCTTTCTCATGTGAATCAGAGACACACAGACAGACAGACAGACTGATGGACATGGGTCTGACACCAGCCCAGTGAATTATTCTGTCCTCTGTCTCGCAGTATTCCTCTCCTGCCTGAATGCAGCAGACAGGCTAATGCTCGGTCCTTCAAATGAGGCCGCAGTGGTCCTAATTAACTGAACCTAAGTTCTAAACAGAACCTCTTAGAGCCCCAGGTACACTTTTTCCTTCATCCCAGTAGAACATGTTTAATCCCTCTTTTTTGCAACATTGCCAAGGCCATAGCCTCAACCATCTTCTCTTCTATTTAGTTTATTTAACAGTGTTTTATTTTATCATAAAAGTCGAATGCAGGGTTTGCTTTATTGTTGTGTGTTTACTAGGGCTTGGTAAAACCACAATACTACTCTGAATATCAGTACCTGTAAAGCAGGGGTGTCAAACTCAATTTCATCGCTGGCCACATTCTCATAAAGGTTGCACTCAAAGGGCCGGTTGTAACTATATAAATATATAATATAAATATGAAATAATGTATTATATGACATTATTGCCTCTGAATTGGCTTATTATCGGATAGGATAATAACTTAGTAATTAACTACGTCTGAAAGCAGAAGTCCAGGGCAAATAATTGCAAATCTCTTTAGTGCTCATGTCACAAAACGAGATGCATTGTGGGACATGTAGTTTATGGGCAACCTGCTTCTGTAAAGTGGCATGTAACCGTATAATAAACGTATTATATTCTTTGCAAGCTCTTGTGGGGCCACATAAAATGAAGTCGCGGCCCGGATTTGGCCCCCGGGCCTTGAGTTTGAGACCCCTGCTATAAAGTGATAATTACAGTAAATAGTACTTCATTCACTAAATCATACTGACCTCAACTTATATCCTTTGCACTAGTAGTTTTGCAGAAATTGTATATTTTTATCAGAATATTCTGTTAAATGTGTATAGCAGTTAAGTTAATGTGAAACTCAAATATCGAAAATGGTTAGAAGCCGTGTGTGGCTAAAAGTTTTCATTTATGTTATTGGGCCTCTCAATTTGAAAATGTAGAAAAGTGTTTAAAAAAACAACCGATTCTTTAAAAAATGTCAGCAGCATTAGTGTCTTTCCTTCGGTTACACCCTCCACAGTTTCATTCTCTGGTAATGAAAATCTGTAACATGGTCGGCCTGATACCTGAAACATAAGCTCTGACTCCAGCATTGGTGGAAGAGGTGTTTTGGATGCGGAAATGGCACATGGGGGTTTGAAGCCGAGGTCGGGGTTACATTATTCTAGACATGCATATTTCATTAACGTCTGTGTGCCCCACTGACACAAAGCAGCTTTCATTTCCCCGTTAGGCCACAGTCAGAGGAAAGCAGAAGTCTTGTCATTTTCTGGCCTGACAAGAATTAGCAATGTAAATCTGTTCACTCAAATATGCTTTGTTGAGGAGTCGGCGTCCATTGAGAGTGGAATGGATTTGACAATATAATTAATAGAAACATAGCTAAGCTTTGGAAATGGTACAAGTAGACATGACTGCTACACCATACTGTTCCTTGTGTTTTTGCCCCCTACTGGTTGAGTTCCAAAAACAAGTCTAAATTATTGGTGCTATGTGTACTTACAGACTTGTCCCAAACTCCTAATGCTACATGTCATTAATAACATTGGCGGCTGACTGTGTGAGGATGTTTTAATCAAGGTACATGCTAATTTAAATGTTGAGCTGTTAGTACTTTCCTTTTGTTAGCATTTTGTTGCTTATATGACCGTAACAGTTCCTCTGTTGTTTTCTAAGCATATAAAATGATGACGGGCCACTCATCTTTTTCCACTTTGTGTTTTTCCTTCAGGATTTCGGCCGTTTGGGGATGGGGATATTCCTGAGGATGGACTGCCGGTAAGTGTGATATAAAGCTGAGAGGCTATTGACTATAAAGAATATATTTGATCTTGAAATCACATGCATTTTTTCCTGGCTGAGTTTGAGGAGCTATCTCTCTGTGGTTGTTTTAAGCAAAAATGTCCATGTTTTCTTTTTTTTCCACTCTAAAACCCATTCACAAAAAAAGGAGACATTTAACTCTATAAAGTATCCTTTTGTTGTGGAATGGTAAATGGATCATAGGATGTTAAAGTGCACCTACTGAAGGTTTTTAAAGTTGGATTTATTACTCAACGCTCCCTCACTATTAAAAACGAAGGCAGGTCATAGCTCGAACTTGAGCCAAGCCATATGTTTGAGCCCTGATGCGTCCCACCCAGGCGCTGACACCTGCCTTTGTTTTCTAACAGTTGTTCTTGGAGATTTACAGGTATTTAACCAGCGCCAAGCAGACCTTGAGGTGGAGCTGGGTGTTGGCCAGCAAATGTGCTAGGCCAGGCTTAGTTGTCTCTATCAATCTAACTTGGTAACTGTCACTCTAGTTAGAATTGATGCCGAAATAATAACTATTGCCTCAGGAGCTGTTTGTTCTAAAGCAGCTTGGCAAGACTGCTCTGTGATTTCCCTGTTCTCCAAAATGAATCTATTTCTTTTGTTGACAGGACTTTTGAGAGCATTATGTTAAGAGTTGTTTATATTTCCTGGCATGTGGCGATGTATTGACATGTCGACATGTGTGGTTGAGATAGCTGTGTTCTCTTTAGTAGGTATATAGTTCAAGTCTACTCCACCCTTGTTCATTTGGTTTAGATATCGGATCTGTTAGGGAACGTCAGTCACCTGTTCTGCTTCTGATTGTAAAGTAGGTGAAAAGACACCATCCACCGTGGAAGGAATGGCAGATCTTGTCATGCACACGTAAACTGAGTGACAATAAACACACAATAGTCCTGCAATACTTGAAACTAACAATGAATTACTGCTGACACCGTTTTTAAGAGATTTTCATTCAACAAAGTTCATTAATTATCTTAAAAACTTGATAAAGAATGAGTCGACACACAGATAACTTTAATATTAACCGTATTTATTGCAGTTATGTGGTATTGCATTACAATTCAATGTTTTGCTGATTGATGTAAAATGCCCCTCAAGTTCAACAAGCTTGAACCAGAACTTTGACATCACACTGCACCCCCCATAACGTAGTTTTGAGCATTAGTCAGAGGATGTCATCACCTTTGACCTGCCTAGTGTCTCACATCCTGTACGATGTAGGAGAAGGAGGGAGAGCTGCGTTCCTGTTCCTGTGGCGAAGTTCCTCTTTAAGGAAGCCGCCTGAACATACAGGAAATCCAATGGCACCACTGTTGCTAGGCAGCAGGGGCTGGGGGGGGGGGGGTTCAGCGGGAGGGGGGATAGAAGGGGGTGTTCACAAGGTTCAGTGAGTGAGCCACCGAGGGTGTCACCATGGTGATTTGGCATCCGAATGTTGCGGTCGGAGACCTGGGCTACAGAGGAAGAGAAGTGAACCAGGGGCTGCAGCCAGAGAGCTAGCACATACCAGCACTCAACAAGGTGTGCTGCTCTACGCTCCACCATAAAGTTATACCTCTGTTCACAAAGATCACCTGATAAACAACAGCATACTGGGTTGGAGAGGATTTTGGTGGATGGTAGAGAAAAAAGTAGTAGAAAATTCTTTGTTCTGGTCTTTAGTTTGTGTTATTGGCGGCCCCCTTTAGATCATTCCTGTCTTGACCTTGTTGAGAGCCGACAGCGTTTCATCAGCATCGGAGGTCACCATCAAGCCTTGTTTATTCCCTTGATTAGATTCAGACATCTCTAAAAAAAAAAATCGCTTGTCCTTAGAATTTTCTGGAATCCATCTTAGCCTTGCATTGCTAGAAGTGTTTGACTTGTGTGTGTGAGAGCAGGCTTGTTTGTGCATGTGTGTGAGTTGTGTATGTGAGTGTGTTAATGTACATGCGTTGAAGATGGTCGTCCTCCGCCCACATCCTGCCCACCGAGGCTCAGCACCCACTTGTATGCCCTTCACAAGCTTACCACATTCTTCCTCTCACTCAGAAACACACAACACATGCACTATATGCACATGCAACATATTTTACCCATTAAAAAAACCTAGTTGCACAACACCCTACTCAGCTGTGATGACCCACTGCCAGGAATTATTCCGTACCACCACAGTCCTTCCGCTAGTACAAAGACAAAATTGTATTTTTTTTCGAATGCCACAGAAAAACATCCGCATCTAATTTAGCGCTGGCAGGAAGTTTTCTCTTATCAGTTTTAGAGGTTTTGTTGGCCAGTTGACTTTTACAGCCTCACTCACAGACCAGAAACGTTTCAAATAGAGCTCTGTGAAGCACCTGTAGCCAGGAAATAGATATGTTTAAAGGATATATATATATATGTTTTACTTCATTTAAGTTAGATACGTTTAATACCACTCTCACATGCACCTGCTGCAATGTTAGCTTAGCATAAAGACCGTAACTTTCCCCATTGTAACAATATGTGATGCCCTTCTATCTCCTTCAGAAGATAGCTAATTAACAATGGTATATCACTTTATTTTAATTGGTACAAAACCTGAAGCATTAAAATGACATGCAGTGGTTTTAGGGTTGGGGCAAAGAAACCACAACCAACACTTTAAAATAATTAAATAAACAAGATGTAACATGTTGATATGTGAGTTTTAAAGATGCTGTCAAGCAGGTTTTGTTACATTAGGATCCAATTGTTATGCTAAGCTAAGCTAACCAGCTGCTGGCTGAAGCTTCACATCAAATCTACAAAGTCTTGTTATCAAACTCTCTGCAACAAAGTTGATGGGGTGTATCCTCGAGCTGTGCTATACTTCTTTGTTTTTAAGGTAACAAGACGCAGATGATGGCCGATCCCTATTTTTGGAGTGTGATAAACACATATTCAAAGAAGTACACCATTAAGTGTTTGTGATCAACCACCAGAGCACACACATCCTCTTTCCTCAGTGTGATTCAGAGATCTAGCATGTTCTGTCGTTTTCAGTACATGGACCCCAGCCCTCCCTGTCCCGAGCCCCTCTGCCTTTGAGGGCGGAAGTGCACGGACCCCTGATGTTGGTGTGGAGCCAGGTTGCCCCGGGCTCCCAGCACCTCCATCCCCTCCTCTCCCCTCCCCTCCTCCCTCACCCAGCCCACATCTCTAGGGTCAGCTCAGCTCCAGATTGGCCCCCACGCATGCCTTTGAATGGTGGGGCTTAGGCAAGCGCTTTAAAAGGAAGCCCAAGTCTGTTTCCCATTTCACCCCCCCACCCCTTGCTCCTTTCTTTCTTTCTCCCACATACACACACAGCTGTCATCTGGCTTTTTAAGTTCTGTGCTGCATTTCTCCAGCTGGAGCTGGTTTATGACATTCCCTAGGCAGACTCTTTGGCCTCTCGCTCTCTTTCTCCCTCTCTCTCTCTCTCTCTCTCTCTCTCTCTCACACACACACACACACACACACAACACAAAGTCATTTTTTCCTGTTCTGTTCTTTCTCTTCTCTCCCTCCACTGTCTCCTATTCCTCACATTCCCCTGCAGACGCTGTGGATGTGCGTTACACCACTTGGTATGTTTGGAGGCAAAGAGGGAGCAAAGTCACACACATACACACACCATGTGTTAGCAGTCTAGGGGGGGGGTGCAAGCAGAGGAGAGGGAGGGAAAAAAAGAGAGGGAAAAAAAAGAAGTCAAAGGAAGCATCTCTTAGCAACCACAGGACAGTAATTACTGTAGCAGCAGCTGGGAGCAAACCAGATTTCCGCTGTGCGTTAAAGCACTGGCGTGGGCTACTTTACACACGGCACTGACTAACCAGAGCCAGCCGCCTCCTCCACATGCAGAGCAGAGAGAGGGAGAGAGAGAGAGGGAGAGGGAGGGAGAGAGAGGGTGGGAGAAGGAGAAGAGAGGAGGACTAACCCTGCCTTGATGAGGTCGGGGTGTGTGTGGGAAAGAGGGACAGCTAGCCAGTGTGTACAAGGCTTGAATATGGTTGGATCGAACTGGTACGTGTGGAGATATACCTCGACGTGTGTCCATGTGCGAAGAGATATAGACCCTTGAATACCCTTTATTTCGCAGTTTATTTGGACTGTTTTCAGACAGTTTCTATCTATGAAAGACTGTACTGAGAAATAAGGAACAACTTGTGATTCTGATTGTGATTGTAATTCAGTTTATCTCCAAGTGATCTGCATCATGTAACTGGGAATTATACAGATGGTTGTCCTGAAATAATGCTGGACATGAAATATCATCACACAGCTCATCATGTAATAACTGACAATCCTCCCCCATCTCTCATCACCTCTGCACGCATGAATCATGAATAGCCATCACTTTTGATGTTGTTGCCATGAGTACGGAAGTGTTGGACCACTTCTATTGGATCTATAACTATGTATTACTAGAAATATGTTTATTCTTTTGCTGTGTTCACATTTCTGGCCTTCACGACATGTTATTTATACACTTCTCTTTCCGATTGATGTCAACATTGAGCTTCTCTCGTGTAATTGTGAGATAGTTTGGCGTGAGGTGTAAGACATATTCGCTCAGCCTCACATGGCTTCCAACATTTCTCTTTTTCATCGCATAATTCAAGCGCCTCTTTTTTTAGGCCAGTGTTTGTAGATTTTGCATCAGTTAAAATGTTTGTGGGAACACATGCAAGCCTGATGGGAACTCGGAGTTCTTAACAGAAGGGCCTTGAGTCATCACAGCACACTCATTTGGCCAAGCGTGGGCGCAGGAGGCCCTCTGGTGGTCACAAGTGGAACACACAGCCTACACACCCCAGTCAAAACAGCTGTGGTCCAGAAATCCATTTGTGCTCTTGGCAATTGAATGGTAACACAGAATGTGAGAATAATGCATTTTAAGGGGTTTGAACTAACATTTATTATGAGCTAAGTATTCAATTTATGTTCAGTTTTCTGTCTCTTTTCTTCATGCATCCTTATAAGCGGAAATATGAGATGTGTGTTTCAAGTATTTTTCAATAGAATTTTCTCCGACTAATATGATTTGTTTCTGATATTTCTGCAGGTGTGTGATGAGCCTCCCTCCTTATGTACCCCAATGAAAGAGCCTTTCTCTCCCCTGAACAACGTCGTCTCCACCGAGCCCTTCAGGGGCTGCTACGTCCGCGCCCAACCCTTCGACGAGTTCAACTCCAGCAACCGCCGCTACCTGCCTCCCCAGGTCTGCTTCTGCCCAGCACAAACTCACCCATCTGCAAAAGTTTGTAAAAATTACATAAAATTGCAACATTTTGGATCTTTAAGAGGAAGATTAAAGCTTGTGAGATTCTATGAATGAAGTATTTCTCATATTCACTTCCCATTTTTGTTTTATAATCCCACTAATTCCCCATTTCTCCTCTCATCAAGGTCTCCTTCAAGTCAACTCGTCATGTCAGTTTTCACATGGACGAAGAGGAGATTGTTCGCATCAACCCACGCAAAGACGTGCTCATCCGCGGCTATGAGGACTACCGCCACCCTGTCATGTGGAAACAGGAGTCCGACCGCGAGGACATGGACTTCCCCACCGCCTTCCACAAACTAGACAGTAAGAAGTGCGAGTATCTCTTCCCCGATGGGCCGTGTGGGGACCCCCACTCTGGCCCCGGCATGGGCATTGGAACAGGTATGGGTCTGGGTCTTGGCAAGGACACAGCCATCAAGACCCAGCCCTCGCCCCTGCTCAAGTCTAAGAAGGGCCGGCGGCGGCGAGAGGACGGCGAGCGTTCGCGCTGCATCTACTGTCGGGAAATGTTCAACCACGAAGACAACTGGCGGGGGCAGTGCCAGGACGCCCCCGACCCCATCAAGCAGTGCATCTACAAAGTCAGCTGCATGCTCTGCGCCGAGAGCATGCTGTACCACTGCATGTCCGACTCCGAGGGGGACTTCTCAGACCCCTGCTCATGTGACACGTCCGACGAGCAGTTCTGCCTTCGCTGGCTGGCCCTGGTGGCGCTGTCCTTCATCGCGCCCTGCATGTGTTGCTACCTGCCCCTGCGCGCCTGCCACCACTGTGGGGAGGCCTGCCGCTGCTGCGGGGGCAAGCACAAGGCGGCGGGGTGACCCCACAACGGACTCTGGGACACCCTCAAAGCTAGCTAACACAGGAAGTGGATAAATGCGGAAAAATAAAAAAGCCGGCATCCTTTTTTCATTCCCCTCTCAGACGGGGTGATGTTGATCCCCAGCTCTGAGGGCTTTTGGAGATTTCAGTTTGTGTTTGTCGCCGACAAGCAGCGGTGGAGGACAAACCAAATGCTTTGTGGGAGCTCTGAGCATCAAGCTATGTTCAGGAGCTTAAACTGAGGAGAGGAGCAGCAGGCAACGTCAAGATTAATAGACTTGGAGATGTTACTAAACACACCTGTACACACACACACACACACACACACACACACACACACACCTACCTATCTCTCACATTCACACTCATGCATTGACAAATGTCAGGACTCTACTGCAAGAAATGTGTAACTTTATGAAGGAAACATTGTCTTTTGTACAGAGAGCAAACAACTTAACGACGAAAAAAGAAAACGGAACTATTCTGCGTTTCAGAAAAAATACTTTTGAGTATGCTAAAAGGGATATGTTCTTGCTTTTTTGTGAATTTACAGTTGGGTAACAGTGGCCTTTCCTTCATGGCTTAAGCATTTGCTGACAATGTAATTACTAGACAGAGAAAAGTGCACTAGAAATGGTTTCCCCCCCTGAGTAAAGGTAACCCCCTCAAATTCTTGTGGTACATTAACCACCTTTTGTAGTGTAATTGTAACATTTAAGAGATGTTTCTGGTGGATGTATGGCCAACTCCTTGTTTTCCTTTCCATCGAATGTTGAACAAATTCAGAAGGTGACAGCTTGTTTCTGAAGGTGCAGCTTGGTTTTGCTTTTGACATTAATTATAAGATGTTAAAATGATTACCTTGCCTTCCCGAGGTGATTTAGACTATTTGATTGCATTCCAAAAAAAAGGGATCGATTCCATGATTTAGAAGGGATACAATGGTAATGACTTTACCATGCAGAGTTCCCCGAAATAGTTTTTCCACATCATTTAAATAGCATTAAAACATCTTGAACCGTTTACATTTTGAAGCCACGATTTGATTTACTCCAATGAATTCCAGTTTTAGTCCAGTTTACTGCTGTTGTGAAATTGGTGTTTTTATTTCTTACTTGTTATTTTCCTGCTCATTTTATAATTATTTTTTAAACAAAGGCTGAAATGTTGCTCAACCAGCAAGTTTTGTTTCGGTGAGTAAATGGGTTACAGTGCTCCTTGGTTTAATGATGAGGCACTTAAATTAGGTTGTTCTTTTATTGGGAATCCTTTAGATTTTATAATTAGTCTGTACATATATTTGACTAATATAACATTTAATTTGCCATTGGAAATACTCCTGAAAGCACTGCTCTCCAAGCTTTGGTTGCAGCACCCTCTCCAAATGTCCATGTTTGTCCCATGAAGCCGTTTTTTTGTTTTCTTTTCATTTCCCCGCACATCATGTGTAAATGTAGTACTTCTTTGTTCCTCAAAAGTTCACTCCTTCCGTATGTCTTCATTTAACAGGCCCTGGATGAATGAATGCATTGCTTCAGGAATGCTGAGTATCTTAGCTATTAAACATACAAGTGTTATGTGTGTGTGCGTGCGTGTGTGTGCATAGGTATGCACTGTTGATCTGGTGTCATGTCACCTCTGACTTTGTGATTAAGGCTTTGACTTGTAACCACGTCCTGTTTCCTGAAGCGTCTATTTAACAAAGAGACGATGGAACTGTTTAACATCCTGGGAATTTCACTTATCTGCTTTCTTTACAGTGGTTAGTGAGAAGATCAAAACGATTCGCTATTGTAACTTTTGTTAAATTGGAGCTAGCAGCCGCTTAGCCTAGCGTACAGCGGGGAAACGGATAGCCTGGCTCCATTACAATGTATTAAACTCTGCTTTATAGCACCTTAAAGTTAACCGATTAACAGGTTATATCATTTGTTTGATTAGTATAAAAACGAAAGTGTAAAGATGACAATTTGGGGTTTTACTGCGGGTCATGTGTGGGACTATTTCTTGAACAGGCACAGTGACTAAGTCCTGTTGTCACCATGAGGGTACTGTGCCTGACCCAAAAATAACTCGTAAAACCTCAATTGGCCATTTTTCAAATAAAAATATATATAATCTATTATTTAATGAGCTTTAGCCGTGGCAGTAGGAGGATGTTGTCACAGTTACCTGTTCGCTTCCCTATGCTAAGCGAAGCAGCTTCGTATTTAAAGACTACATATGAAAATGGTATCAATCTTCTCACTCAACAAGAAAGCACAATTCCCAAAATGTCAAACTACATCTTTAAGATCCTTTGGGAAACAGGAAGTCTAGTTGTGTTTGAATCCTATTTCCCGCCCAAAAGAGAAGAACATATTTCAATTGAACTGGCTTCCTCAACTAACTAAATGTTGACTCGAACTAGTCCTGAACAACGACAAACTCCCGACAGTTATAACAGTTCAGCCTGGATGTCCAGCTGCAATAAGTCTTGCTAACTGAAGAAATGATTCCTAACTAAGGCATTGGCATGTTTGAAATTAATGCTAATTGTGATTCCCCGCAGTATTTAACAGCAGATTTGGCATGACATCCATGTTGCTAACAGATATGCATCTCCTCTCCCTCCTGGCTAAAATAATAGTAGTAATGGCACTTCAGATTACAGGAGAAACGTATATTTTCCTAATTCCCCCCCGACCGATGCTCCCTTTACTTTCTATGCAAACTTTCTAACGTGGGAAACACATTGACCTCTCTGCAGACTGAGTCAGTGACGGGATAGGACACTTTAACGCGATATAGATGTAGACGACTGCCCCCTGGTACCAAACGCCAAACAACCTGTAAATACTTAACACTATATTTAAGTTCTGATAATAATCCCAGCTTTTTTGTCTTTTACATTTTAAAGATAGAGCTGTATTTATCGTTGCTGTCAGCATATACCGTAGCTTCAATTGACAGCATTATGTACATAGGTCACCTTTTAGTATTATTTCACATTGAAAAGTAGAGGGCGTTTGTGATGGAAATGACTATTGAGCTTCTAATAGAGTTTCTCTATAGTTTTGTACGGTAGAAGGAAGGATAGTGCTAACACGGTACAGTAGTGGCATATTTGATATATAAATATATATATACATACATATAAAGCTGCTAGATACAATCACTAATTTTATTGTGTTGACAGAGAAAATCAGCTATGAACGACTGTTAAACCCTAATTCTCCAACAGCATATAACCATGACAGTGAGTTTTTAAATGTTTGATTGCTCTGTGTGAGTGGACACTTGTGCATGTGTGTGGGTGTGCGAGTGTTACTATAAATGTGCATTCTTGTGTGCCCACGAGTGTGTGTGTGTGTGTACTGCGTGTGTGTGTTTCCGGTGTGCTGGCTGTGTGCGTGCGGGGTTGGTGTGTGACCAGATGTTTGGATGGTTGTCATATTCTCCCATTGTAATTGGATTGCCCTGCATTATTGCAAGCTGAACCAAGGTTTGATGAACCTGATTAAAACTTGCTGGCTGAGAAGCAAAAATGTAGGACGTGCATTTATACAAAGTGTAGAGAATGCTGAAATAACACTTCTCATTCTGCATTAACCAGCACAGTGCAACTTCCTGTCATGTACTGTATTATATATGCAACATGTGTCTGTCTGCTTTAATATATATATTTTTTGACCTGCATTATATAAGACTTCAGTTTTAACCACTTTGCTGCTAGTCTTTTATCCTCTTTCAATCTTGGAAATTGTGCATATCTTTGGGAATGCATACAAGTGTACATTCTTGACATTGTGTAGATTTAAAAAAAAGAAAAAGCTATATAAACCTGTTTCTCTTCAGTGTATTGTTTTAAAAAGGTTACTTTTCACAGCAGTTGAGTGGTTATGTTTCAATTCTCCAATGCTTTGGTGCACTGATGATACTATATGTAAGCTTTTTTTCATCTTACAGCGCTTGATGTAACATTTATGTGATTAGTTCTAAATAGTGGAAGACATTTGTGTTTTGAAACTTGCAGTATAAATGGTACTACTCTTAACTATTCTGTAAACACTGCCTGTTTTCTTTCTTTTTTTCTTTCTTTCACTCTCTTTGTGCATATTTCTTTCCTGTGCATCTATTTGTTCCTTAAGTTTCTTAATGCCATCGGCTTTCACATCCTGACAACCTCAAAAAAGTGCCTCACGTCCATCCTAGTTTCCATTTATAATTTAACATCTCTCGTTCTGGTTCTATTGGTTTCTACACGTCTAGGTATTTCTTCTCATGGTTCGAGAATACCAAGTATATGATTTATAGTCCCAATAACTCATGTCATAGTTGTATTTTCTTTATACAGATGTAGCTCGTTACTTTTCATAAATATATAATGTAAATATGCATACATATGTTTGTAACTGTTTTTATGTTACATCATACACTTGTAATTTGACATATCAAATAACATTATCATAATAAAATGGTGAGTTTTAATCTTTTGCTGTGTAAGCTTCATTGCCTTTTTTGTATCAGTCATCCATGTTATAAGAATACTAATGAGTTGTTTTGTGAAGATAAACCAAGGGCACATGATCAAGTTTACTGTGGTCAAAATATTTAAATAACCTTCTTCCTCTTTTGAAGAAACATGAAGATCAACTATCAAGACTGAAATCTCCGATCGACTCTACTTCTGCATTTGAAATGCTTATCGGTCTTAATGTCTGTAAAATCCAGACAGCTAAATTAACCAGAAGTCGAGCTGAAACCCTTTTTTCTATTCATAGAAGATGTAGCTTCAACATTTCTGGACGAACAATGTGTGTGTTTAGGTCAGTTGACCAAAAATGGCATACATTATTTGGTTCCATGACAAAGATAACTCGATAGCATGTCTGCATGTAAGGGAGGAAACGTATACAAAATGTACACCACCCCAAATTGATCATGTTGTTGATAGTGCTACAGATGCGCTGCGAATAAAATTAGACTCTGTTGCTCCTTTGAAAAAGAAGAAAATAAAACAGATTAGCTCCATGGCATAATGCCGAAACCCGCAAAATAAAGCAAAAGTCGAGACAACTTGAAAGGATATGGCGTTCCACTAAACTTGAAGAATCTCGTTTAATTTGGCATATTACTCTCAATGAATATAAGAAAGCACTGCGTAAAGCGAGAGCAGCCTACTACTCTTCATTAATAGATGAGAATAATGCAAGATTTCTTTTCAGCACTGTAGCCAGGCTGACAGAAAGCCACAGCTCGATTGAGCCTTCTATTCCCATAGCACTCAGCAGTAATGATTTGATGTGCTTTTTTAAACGATAAAATTGTTACTCTTAGAAACAAAATTATTGACCTCTTGCCTTTGACCAGTATAGTGTTATCAACAGCTCCCGGAAACGTAAGTTATAATATTACACTAGATAGTAAACTAGAATGCTTTTCAGCCATAAACCTTGAACAATTAAATTAAATGATTCTCTCTTCTAAACCATCAACGTGTATGTTAGACCCAATTCCAACTAAGCTGTTGAAGGAAGTTTTTCCATTAATTAGCACTTTATTAAATATTGTGAATATGTCTTTATTATCAGGCTATGTTCCACAATCATTCAAAGTAGCAGTGATAAAACCGCTTCTTAAAAAGCACAACCTTGATCCAGAGGTTTTAGCCAACTATAGACCTATTTCTAATCTTCCGTTCCTCTCAAAAATTCTTGAGAAAGCGGTCGCAAAACAGTTGTGTGATTATGTTGCGACCTGGCTCAAAAGGCCACAACAAAAAGGAGACACAACATGTCAACGGGTAGGTAAAGGTGTTTATTTGCACAACACTGGTCAATTCAACACATTGGTTATACTCATCATAGCCGGGTGCCTGCAGGAAAACAGAGCGAGAGAGCAGACAGGAGCAGAGAGGCTTTAAAATAGCTGCAGAGCACCAGACCCAGGTGCCCTGAGTTACTGCAATCGGTGCAATCACTGGAGCCAATGCAGCACAGACAGAACAGCCACACCCTATCTACTGATGCACCCACAGGGGCATCACAGCCCCCCCCCTTAAGACGGGGCTCCAAAGGGGTCCACGACAACCCAACATCCTTCTTCTTAACTCCAGCTTTTTACTTTCCATCTTAGGACTGGAGGACGCTCCTCCTCCGCCTCTGTCTTCGAGCTCTTGCCTTGCGATTTCGTACTGCTTCTTCGATTCCACTGCCTTTATGTCCCACTCCTCCTTGGGTTGGCTGGCGTTGAGCCACAGCATGTAGGCGCTCATCGGCCTCTTGGGCGCGCTGACCTCCTTCGGCCTCCTCTTCTTCGCTTTGCGGCGTTCCTCCTCCCTTTCTTCTCCTTCACCTTTGTCTCGATCTGAAGTCAAAGGACCGTGTTGGGCCACTTTTTCCAGACTCCGAAACAGGTAGGTCAGTAGACATCCTACGGCTCTGCACACGCGTAATAGTATAAAAAGGAGACACACTTGGAAATTGCAAACCACTCTTATCTGGCTCTACAGATGCCAACGGTCTGGAAACCACCACAGGCGGTGGCACACCTGCCCACACCACACAACCAGCAAGATCGTTGCCCAAAATCATCTGTACCCCATCAAGTGGCAATGCGGGACGCACGCCGATCGACACAACTCCCCGTACCAGCTCACAATCCAGCACTACTGTATGACGTCGCACAGGAATCAAGCCCATCTCCATTCCCCTCATCAGCACAAAATCTCCAGTCTCTGTCTCTGACGAAAAAGGCAACACTGACTCAACAATAAATGAGTATCTAGCTGCTGTGTCACGCAACACCTTAATCGGAACATACTTGTCACTACCAACTATTGACACAACGGCTTCCGTTATGAACGGCCCAAAAACAGAACCCACATCCAAGTCGGCACAAACCAGCTTCTTATCAGGCACCATGCCCGATCCTACACCCTGTGGCTTTTTAACCAACACGGCAGAACAACACATGGCTGGAGCATGTGGTGACAAACGAGGCTTCCCCTTCGTTTCCAGCAATGGACACTGCTCCTTCCAATGACCCCCACCTTTGCAATAGTGACATTGGTCCACTTTGGCCCCCTCGGGTCGCCCTGTACCTGCAAATCTACGGGAGGAGCCTGGTGAAAACTTTGCACGGGCATCTCCATTGTCTTCTCCACGTTTCCAATCACCCCTAGAATATTTCTCCGCAAAAATGCCCTTATGTGTCAACACAAAATCGTCCGCTAATTCAGCAGCTCTAAACGCGGTGGGAGGTTTCTGTTCATTCACATATGTGGCCACACGCTGAGGGAGAATGTTTTTAAATTGTTCCAAGACAATGAGCTCACAAAGACCGTCAAAACTTGCAACCTTTGCTGCCGCGCACCACCGCTGAAAATGAGAAGTTAAATCACGGATAAACTCCACATGTGTCTGCTTATCTCCCTTGACCCCACTTCTGAACCTTTGACGATACGCTTCAGGAACCAGTTCGTAAGATTTCAACACCGCTGATTTTACTCTATCATAGTCCAAAGTATTTTCGCCACAAATAGCTGAATAGGCTTCCTGTGCTCGCCCAGTGAGTACACACTGAAGTAACAGCACTCTGTCCGAATCTGACCAGTTTCTTGCCTCTGCTATGTTCAAATAGAGTGAAAAAAATGTCCGGGTCACGCTCATTGAACTTTGGCACTAATCGTAAGTAAGAAATTATATCGCCACTGCCTGATGCTAACCTAGCACCACCATCCTCCCCTGGAGAAAACTTGCCCTCTCCCATCAGCCGTAATCTAGCATGTTCCACCTCACATTTCACCTTTTCCACCTCCAGCACCTTCTCCACCTCTAAACGCTTCTCTACCTCCTGCTGCTGACCCCTCATCTCCAACTGCAACTTCTCCTGCTCCAACTTCAACTCCAACTGCAATCTCTCCTGATTAAACTGCATGGCCAAAAGCTCCTTTTGCTGTTCGAATGTCAAACCAGCTGTCTGAACCACTATGGCGCCACACCAGACTCACTCTTCTGTAACACTCCCCGCTCAAACAAAGATGACACGATGACAGCTTTAATGTCATGTTTCCGCTTGCTCCCTACAACAGCAATTTCATAATGCTCTGCTATTTCGATCAACTGCGCCTTCTGGCAACCATCCAAGAAAGATACTGAGGGCGCATCCACAAACGCTGACAAAGAAGCCATAATATATTGCCTATACCCAATCAGAAAGCAAAGTACTCAACTGTCAAACACGCCTGGGCGAAAAGACAAAACCCAACAGAGAATTCCCCCCTAACTTCTGCCTTACCAAAATCTTCCTAATCTCACCTA